CAGAAGCCTAAAACTGTCTCTCTTCAAAGCAAATATCTGTCTCCCTTCTCATTCAGTTTAAACTAATGGAACACTGTTGTGAATGGTAAGAGGCACAACTTTGTGGACCCACGGGATTCAACCCACCACCGCCTGTCCCGTTAAGATTTCAACAGCAAAAACAACAGAAGTTCTCTGAATAAATATGCAGTAAATATTTGATTGGCGAGAGAGGTAGCTGCTGAAAGATTCATGGCAAATTATGACAGGGAGGCGAGAGAGAGTGAGCGAGACAGAAGGAAAAGGGGAGGGAGATGATGGCCTGTTTTTCTCCAGCTGCTCTCTTCCTGCCATCAACATCGATTGACCAGCTTCTGCACACTCCTACACACTCTCACACACTCACGCACAAAATAGCTCTTCAGTGGGCATGTAGGCCAGCAGCGTGTAGAGTAACAGCCTCTCTTAAAATCAAACGTACTCCATAGAGTGAGGCGCAGGTCTCAGAACTATAACTTCAGAGAGGATATGAATGCATGAAACAAGCTGTGTTAACCCATCTGCTGGAGCAGAATATGCGGCGCCTTGTGAAATCAAAGGCCTGGCAGAGTGAGAGCTGATTTGGAATGTTTCAACTTCTCAGAATAGACAAACATACTAGCACAAAAACGTATTTATATACAAAATGGTTGTGAGGGAAGAATCTGGGCCAAACAGACCAAAAATCAGCTCTTTTGTAGTGCTGGAGTGCTGGATGGGTTGTAAGCACAGCTGTTAGCCAATTCAGGATTAAGAATTACTGATTACACACTGCATCACACTGTAAAGAAAGGAGTTGTTGTTTCTCCACTAAATGTTACTCCACATTTTTCCAAGTACCAGAAACTTTGACACCAACAAACTGGAGCTGTGCTTTTTTCCATTGGACAACTGGCTCAGTACCAACTGTTCCAGTTTTAGGGTTTTTGGCACCTGATCATGACTGGTATGAACATGACCTAATGGTACTTGAGAGTGTTCTTCTTGAACATTTGCAGTTGAAGCCAATGATGTATTTATGTGTGCATGTGCAGAACAGTGCAGCATATGATCAGTACATAAGGTAACTAGTAAGTATGGTAGCTAGTCAGTATGGTAGCTATTTAGTCAAATTAGATGCTTTAGACTTGTTCTATTACAGTGTCATAAAGTGAAATGACTAAAAAGATGATAATCGTTAACCTTGGTTATTATGACTGTTGTCTCTCAGGCAGATGGAAAATGTACTAGAACTAGAACCTTGAGTTCTGTTCGTTCCCGCTTAGGTCATATGTTTTAGAATGTGGAAAAACAGCCTTTGATACACTCTTATAAGGCTCTTGCTTTGGATGTACTGTTTTGGGAAAAACGTTTCATTGATATGGAAGCTGTCTGTTATCTTTAGGAAACCACAAGTGGTTCTTCTGTGGCTTTGCTGCAAATAACCTTTTTGGCAATAAGGTCTAAACTGATCTAGCTTGTTTACATTTCCTCTATTGCAGCTGTGCATCCCCATCTCTCTACCCTGTATACAAACACATCTACATATCACAGGTATGCTTTAAAACAGCCAAACAGGTCTCAGGTCAGCCATAGCCTGCTGTGACTTCTCCTCAGATACAAACATTCATAGTTTTACCCATTTCCAGGTCTATTTCTCTGCAATCTCCTCTAGTTCCTAGTTTATATGTTTGAGGCTGTGCCAGCCCTCCCCCAACCTTCTAACACAACATTTGTTGCCTTGTCAGACAGAACATCATACTCTCCTCTTAAGTGGCCAAGAGCCACCAGTGAGTGTAGGCTTCGAATCTTCACTCCTAAAGCTTAAGAACAGCATAATCAGTTTACATTGTTTTCCATGTAGTTACTGAATAGGCCTTACAATGTAATATGCCTGGCATTTTAAGAGGTTTAGGTATGTGTTAAATCAAAAGGAAGAGGGCAGCAGTGAAGGCAGTCCAGGCTAACTCCCAATATGAAATCTGAGCACTGGAAGCTGAGATAAAACAGTTGGCAAGTGTGGAGGTAAAGGTAATCAATAGTCCCTTCTGCTGAATGGTGATGTCATTAGTATTAGTCTTCTAAGAACCTAAAATTACTCTTATTCCATTTCAAATTTCAATAGAATCCATCAAAGAATTGATCTAAGTTGGTGGACACGTTGCTGTAAGTGGTATCATCTTAGAAGAACAGTTCTCAAGTCCATGTTTGACTGTCATGCCCATACCTATTCACTTTTCCTGAAATGAGCCTGTTATTAACACACCACTCATTTTAGAGACCTTTAAATCACGTTTGAACTATGTCTCTGAGTCACCTTCTAAATTGCGTAGCTTTGAGTCACAACAGTGTGTCATGTTCCACATCACTCAAGCAGAAAATATCCTGGTTGAACTGATCATTGTTCCTAAAATGAAAGTCAAAATCCAACAGGTCCCATAAATGGGATGATTAAAGTGTCCTACTGATCTATTCTACAGCATAGTGACCGTAGAAAAGAGTGGGAAGTTCTCAGTGGTCCAATCATGCATGAATAAATAAAAAAAATAAAATAAAATAACAAATCAATACAAGGATAATCCACCTGCATGTGATGCACAAAAGGTGGATTCAAAATACAACAAAGAAGACCAAATGTCCTCATCATAGAAAATGAAAGAGATAATAAAGACAGTAAGACAGAAAGAAACCAAAACACTTAGATGACAGCAGAAATGATTAGACAAATGTTCAGGCAGTGCTTTCTGGTCCTGAAAGAATCCAGCTGGACCACACAGCCCTAACCTGCCTCTAGGTCTGTCCTACATCAAACCCCAGCCACATCGTAATCATCAATCATCCCAATTTAACAGCGGTGAGTCAGAGCCGGTGAGACTCACCATCGTGACAGGTCATGACTAGAACAGTAGGAAGGGGAAGGGAAAAAGCCCTTCAGCTCACCTCTACCCAGGTGCCATAGCAAATCATGTCCATCAATTACTGTCTTTTTTATTTCCCCTGTCCAATCCTGCAAGGCACTGATTGTCTCTTGACCAGTACAGCCAGAGAACAGTAAAGCTTAAGTGACTGTGCTCTATAATGAGCTGCTGCCATGCAGAAGCATGCAGTGTGTCACATAGCTTGCTTCACTCTTTGTAGATCTTGGACCAAAGCCTGCAAACTCCTCCTGTCACCATAGGAACAATTTATAGAAGCATCAAGCACACAGCTGAGCACTGGATTAGATTGGGATGAATAATCACCATTGGCAACCATGTGGAAGATGATTCCCTGATGCAGAAAAAGATGCAGATTAAATCTAGTCCTATATAGGATTTTCAATGAATAGCAATGGTCAACAAGGTAATTCAAGCCTAAATCTGTCAATATGTGAGAGAAGAATCAGGAAGATGTTGAAGTATAAACACTTCCTAAATGGTTCTTGACTTGGAAAAATGGTTCTAAATACTTGCAAAATGGTTCTTCGAGTGTTCTTTAGTAAAGAAAATGGTTCTTTATAGAATCATGAACACTCAATGAGCCCTTTGCAAAATTAAAGGGTTCTGTGCATCATGGCAGCGTTCTTCGGCTTGATGGAGAATGTGCTTTAGAAGGTACCAAAAGGGGTTCTTCTATTGTTACAGGCTTGAGATTGAAACAATAACAGATCCATTTTTAGTGCTATATAAAACCCCTTTCAAAAAGATTCTGTATATAACCATCTTTAGCACATTCTCCATCAATCTGAAGACCCCTTTCATGATGCAAAGAACCATTTAGGCATGCAGAAGGTTCTTTGAGTGTTCATAGTTCTTTAAAATCCATTATCTTTGCTAAAGAACCTTGAAGAAGCCTTGAAGACCTTTACATTGTGTAGATGTTCTTTAAAGTTTGAAAACCTTCTTCACACTCACACTTTACACAAAATGCTCCAGTGAAATGTTCTTAGGAAAAGAAAAGCTGGTATTTATGGGACTGTTATGGGACATAGGAACCCTTTATTTGTAACCCTTTATATATCTTCACATTTAAGAGTGTAGCATTTGGTCTTTATATATTCTGAATAGAAAAAAAAAACAAAAAAACAAACAAAACAACTGATCAAATGCGTATTGTGCACCCTTAAAAAGGGATGAGGGATCCTTGAAAGGTGCCTTTGTAAAGGCAATTATATTTAGAACTGTGAACCATTTGTGTGCATAAACCATTGTGTGCATGTTAAATGGTTCTTCTGTATGATGGAAATGGATTGTATGGTTCTATAAAGAACCTTTTTAAAAGTTGTGGAATATATAGCACCAAAAAGGGTTCCACTATTGCTACAAGTCACAGAACCTTTTTTTGGATCTATACAGAATGCTTTTTGCTAGGAGTGTGGCATAAATGTTCTCTTGCAGGATTTGGAATGCTTGCTGGTTTCTATTAAACCTCAGCGCCTACAAGGTTTGACTCCTCATCAACTGCTAGTCATTATATACTCAATTAATTATCATTGTTCACACCACCCCAGAGGCTAAAGGGACCTGTCCAATTAGAGATGGACACTCTTACCAAGCTACTGGTCTCATCCTACCCTCCCCCTTCCATCACTGACCTGTGCATCACTGGAGAATCACACAACAATCACTGCTAATCCCAGCAGGATGTATGATGTTGTCCCTTTTTCATTAAATATCCAAAGACAGCTTGAAATAATTGGCTAAATTCTTAATAAGGCTTCTCTCTCTCTCTCTCTCTCTCTCTCTCTCTCTCTCTGTCATACATAGACTAGCTAAGAAATGTGTAAGGCAAGTCATAAAATGTTTACGTAATGAGGTAAAAACGAGCACCTAAAGCGCTTTACAGAGTATCGACAGCCTCCAGCCTCCCCACAGTTCTAAAGAGATGATTTCGTGCAAGTCTCTCCGCGGCGAGGAGCGCATTTTGCGCACAGAAGAGACACTAAGCATGCAAAAAGGACCGTCTACCAACAAAAAAGGACAGGTCTAATTTAATGGTTTGAAGCATAACTGAAAGCAACTCACCCGAATCAAAATGTGAGCTCAGCGCAAAGCTGGGGTTGAAATACGACGCAGACATGATGAGCAGCGCTAGAGCGGAGGGCATCCTCTCGAACCTGAAGATCCGGGTGGGTTTTGCATGAAATAAAATCGTATCAGCGACGCTCGCAGGATGAATTCGCGTAGACCCGGGGAACGTGCTATTCGCTCATTTTTCGGAGGTTTAAAACGAGACAGACGACGAAGCAGATGTGGCCGGATAATCCCACCATCAGTCCGTCACGTTAACGTTTGCCAGCGCCAGCCGTTGCATTTTTCCTCTCATATCTCTCCATTCATTCCTGTTGGCGGAGCTTCGCGCAGCTGAGTCTGTCGTCCTCTTTATTCGCCGCATGAAACGAGGCCCATGAATCATTTCCTTACAACGCCGGACACGAGCAACACTCACCGTGTCAGAGCGTCAACAGTCCACACCGCGCTTGTTGTAATCAAACCTCGCCTTCACGGTTTTCAGTGTAAGTCTATGGGGAGCTGTCCAGTACTGAAACGGAGCGCCATCTTTGCTCGCTTCACTCCTCCAGAGTGAATTCTGCGCTGGAATCTGTTGGGGGAGGGGAGATGCACCAGAAGATGGGCTTAACTTGGGCATGTGGCTCATATTTCATACACACACACACACACACACACACACACACAAACACACAAACACACAGGTCATATAAAACAAACACAGAGAGTGTTTTCTTTCATTTTTTTTTATTTAATACACTATAAATGAAAAGTATTTTTCATTTTGAATATATGCTAAACAGATCAACCTCCCACAGGATGTGATTCAAGATTAAATTAGTGCATAATGACACATCACACTCCATCCATCTTGTTAAGGTGTTTGTGTTGTGCATCATTGAGAGCACGTTTGTCAGATAGGAGTAATATTTGCATCTCATTTATGCAAGACTTGCGTATATTTCTGCAGACTTGCAGATGAGTGTATGTGTGTGTAAATGTGTGTGTCTACAAGGAGATGTGAGGAAATGGTTAAATGACCATATTGACATATATGAAATAACTAGCTAGTGTACTAATGTTATATGTGTTTATTGTAATATTAGTGTTTTTATCTGTGCAAATCAACACTTACTGGCCAGATAAACATCTTTTTAAATCTAATTTTCTAATGTGCCTAAACTGACTTGTACTGTATATTACATGTTACAGAATTTGTTACTTATTATTATTACAAACAGTTTTGGTACATGTGCATATACAGAATAAGAGATCAAATTTGAACTGCGTTTGAGGACACATGGGTAGAATAATGCACTTTTAAGACTGATAAAAATGTCCTGACTTAAAAAAGAAAAGAAAAAAAAGAGAGAGAGAGAACTAATCTACAATACCAGGACCAACAAAACAGTTCTCACTTTTTTAAAATGTTATTTTTTTCTTTCTTTTTCTTTTTTTTAACTGAAAGTGCTGAGTTAAGTGTTCGGATTAGGTTTATGGTAAATTGTAGAGATCTTATTACATTGAAATTCTTTCATACATACAAAATCCATAGGACATGTTATTACACATAGATTATTCCATTTTTATAATACATGAGGTATATTATTATGGATACTTACACTCACTGAGCACTTTAATAGGAACACCTGTACACCTATTCACTCTTGCAATTATCTAATCAGCCAATCATGTGGCAGCAGTGCAGTGCATAAAATCATGCTGGCACCAGCCAGCAGCTTCAGGTAATGTTTGCATCAACCATCAGAATGTGGAAAAGTGTAATCACAGTGATTTTGATTGTGGCATGATTGTTGGTGCCAGACAGGCTGGTTTGAGTATTTCTATAACTGCTGATCTCCTGGGATTTTCATGCACAACAGCCTCTAGAGTTTACTCAGAATGGTGCAATAGAGGAAAAAAAAACCATCCAGTGAGTGGCGGTTCTGTGGAATAAACTGCGTTGTTGATAAGAGAGGTCAGACTGGCAAGCTGACAGAAAGGTTGCAGTAACTCAGATAACCACTCTGTACAAGCAGAAAGCATCTCAGAATGCATAGCATGTCAGACCTCGAGGCAGATGTGCTACAAAAACAGAAGATTACACAAGGTTCCATGTCTGTAAGGCAAGAACAGGAAGCTGAAGCTGTAGTGGGCACAGGCTGACCAAAACTGGACAGCTAAAGACTGGAAAAACTTTGTCTGATGAATCTTGATTTCTGTTGAGACACACAGGCAGTAGGGTCAGAATTTGGTGCCAACAGCATGAATCCAAGGACACAACCTGCCTTGTGTCAAACATCCCAGGCTGGTGGAGGCAGTGTAATGGTGTGGGGAATGTTTTCTTGGCACACTTTGGTCCTGTCAATACAAATCAATTGTTGTTTGAATGCCACAGCCTATTTAAGTATTGTTGCAGACCATGTGCATTTTTTTAATGGCCACAATTTACTCATCTTCCAAAGGCTACTTCTTGCATGATAATGCACCATGTGAGAAAGCAAAAGTCATCTAAAGCTGGTTTCGTAACAATGAAAATAAGTTCAGTGTTCTTCAACGACCTTCACAGTCACAGCTCTGAATCCAATAGTACACCTTTGGGATGTGGAAGAACAGGAGATTCACAGCATCTGAAAAATCTACAGAGATTTCATGATGCAGTCATGTCAACATGGACCAGAATATCAAAGGAGTGTTTCCCATGTATTGTGGAATCCATGCCATGAAGAATTGAGGCTGTTTTGAGAGCAAAGGCAGGCCTGGGTGTATCTCAGAGAACAGGGGTTGTCAGATGAAGTGAGGCTTCAGATTTGATCAGCTTCTGTGGGTGAGTGAATAAGAATGCTCCTGAAAGATTGAAAACCCCCCACTGTGTTACGTAATATAAAAAGCACTGCGTAAGACTATACTTACCTACCAGTCCCAGGTCTCCTTCAACACATTGGTTCACAATATCCTCCCACTCAGTTAACTCTTTTAACAGGCAAATGTTGCCTATGAGTATGATGTTTTCAGCAAGAATTAGGTACCTTGTTTCTTTATAGGTCCATATCATGTATTTATTATATTTATTTTAGTATTTTTTTGCATGATAGTTGTATCCCTTTATCCCTTAGAACTAAGGAAGCTGTTTTTGTCACTGTGCCTGATATATGCAAATGACTTTTATTGTGACTGGCTGCCCTTTATTGTGTCTCATTTGAATAGCTGCCCAGGCTGAAACACTAAATTCATTTTAAATTGACAAGGCTAAACCACTGTAGGCTGAATATCATCACTATCAGAACAAAATCTTGCATCTCCAAAAATTGGCCACTTTATGAAACAGGACCTTTAATACTCAGTTACTTTAAAACCTAGTTGGTTTGCAGATGGAGTTAAAGCTCCATCATTATGGTTTGCCCTGCCAAGCGACATTAGACATTTAATACCTCAAACAATCACAGTAATAAGAATAAAAGGTCACTAAGAAAGAATGGAAGCTGCTGAGGTCCAAACAGATTTAAATTACATGCATAACACTTTAATTTTTTCAGTTTCCTTCATTTTAAGACAAGTAGTATTTTAAACCGCACTACTCCTTCAGTGCCGCAGATTCTCAGCTGCTTGCTATGCTCTTCATGGCTGGACCAACAGGAAAGACGTTTCAGACTGAATACTTCATGGAATACTAAATGGAGAAATGCAAATGATGAAAGAAATTTTCTCAGACAGGCAGTAATGTGGCAGCCCAGAAGCGCTTAGCTTCAAAAGGCCAGTTCTTCTCACAAACACATGGTACATTATCTCCACGAGCCCTATATCTCTGGAGATCATCAGCGGATGTTTTATAGGCTCAACACTTGGCCTGCTGAGTGTCTCCTGTGTGACATTAATTCAAACACGAAGGCACAGAGTCATAATGTCAAGCATTCTGTGTCTCTGATTCAACATGTCAGTCTGTCAAGGTTGCCGTGGAAACATTGTGAAGGAGAGAGCGTGGGGTGCACTATGCTCCATCTTTTGCTTTTTGCTGTCTCTGCTGTACTACCTATCTGTCTCTCTCTGTCTCCCTCTGTCTCTCTCTCTCATCTGCATGTAAATGGCTGCAGGTGGCTGCTGAACCTGAACTGAAATGAGTAGTATTCTGAATGCAAAACATGAATTTAGTTTCTATCAATCCAACTTCATATGATGGAAAGAACAGACTTGCACATGCCACATGCCTCTGTGGTCCACAGATATATGTGTATGTAGTGTGTGTATATATATATATATATATATATATATATACATATACACACACACACACACACACACACACACACACACACACACGTGTGTATAAAATATACTTATATATACTATGAAATATCCTTACAGCCCTCTCTCTTTGTCTGTATATGTATGTTTGTATATGTGTGTACATGTGTGCAGTGCACTTTCATTATTTTAATGAACAACAAAAATGTCTGTTCATTGTTTAGTTTCCTTACCAGATCAGATTCTTCACTGACACAATGGTTTCCCTCTAAAGCAGTTTATTTGTAAAGTCTATTTGTTTTAACACTTTCTCTTGGCAAGTTTAGCAGAGACATTATAAAAGAAGGGACAGTTCAGTGGTTACAATCACTCATAACAGTAAACAGCGTCTGTTTATGAGGGAAGTGTTGCCCCTCAATAAGTAAAGTCAATTAGCCTAGGTAGCTGTCGAGTGGACTGACTTTAGTACCTGAGTGAAAATTTTGTCAACAACAAAGACAAAGGCTGGGGGTTAAGGTGATGTTCCAGCTTTAAAGGAAGTCCTGAAGATTGTTTTGGGTAAAATAATTACATTTTATAAGCAATACTTGGTGTAACAGTGTAATATTTTCAAAATTATAATCATATAAACATGAACTGAATTGAACTGAATGAAAAAAAACATTTATTTCTGAGAGGCAGTTAATTAGTGGTCAACAATCAAATGAGTGACCAAAGCAAAGACAGCATAGTAAACACACAATGACAGCATTAAATAATAATAAAAAATACATATGGAAACATACATATTATTTTTTTTAATCGCTAACACATATTTAACAAAACTGGGGTCGACTTAATCTTCTTAATCTTTATATTTTAGCAAAGCACAAGTGTCTTTTTGCAAATGTGTAAATTACAGAAAAACGTAAAAGTTCATTAGCCTTCTGTGGTCAATGAACGAGGCAAAATTAAGAATATATGTGTAAAATTGATTTTAAAGTGACAGATGTACCTACTGAGACTGATACATTAAGGTAATGAATTCTCCCAAAGACACCATAACCATGGTGCACATCAGCGTCCATCTATCCAACATCCAAAAAAAAATAGAAATAATAAAAAAAGTAAGAAAATCAGAGACATTTCACATTTTGCTTTTTTCCATATTGTGAAGATGTTAAACCCCAAGAAAAGGATTTTGGGTTTTACATGTGGCTTACTGGTAAGGTCTGCGAGGGTGAGACAACCAGTAGGATGGGCAAGACCAAAGTAGAGTGCACAAGCAAGTAGTTTATTTACACAATGTGAAAACTGGAAACAAAAACTGTACAAAAC